CGCGCCGGCACCGCGCGGCTACGCATTTGTCACTCTAATTGCGCGGCGCGGGGGTTCCCCCGGATTCCGTCGCCGTTGACAATTGAATCGGTCATTAATGAGACCGCGGCAAACGGACTCGCTCGGAGAGTCGCTCGCGAGGAACGAGGCGCGACTGTCCGCGAGAAATGCCTTTTTAATGCCACCTCCGATGCAGTTATTATGGCAGGATGCTAAATAGCGGTTTTTTCTTCGTGCGAAATTACGTCCCTCCCCTTTTTTTCGTAGTGCAATTCGTCCGTGCGACGACTCGTGTGAGACCAGCCTTGCGCAGTGCGTGCAGTCCTTTATGCGAATTCGCTTCGAGTGCAACGATACGATTTACATTTTGGGTCAGTGGGATGTCACGGACGGATGATGATGACAGTTCCGCGGACAGTGAACGCGCAATTCTGATCGCGCGTAATTCGATAGATTCGGCGCGAGACAAAGTGGCGCGTCACAAACGATTGTAAAGTGCAGACGCGCTCCCGAAGCGAAGTAGTTGCCGGCCCGAGTGAAGGCCCGAACACACGAAGAAACTTAAGCGGTAAAATTTAAGGGAAATGACCAGTGACTGTCGAGTAAGCGGCCATTTTGGAACTTAAGCGATGCTGAAAATTTCCATTGGTTGAAATTCTTAAGTCTTAAGTTTTACTGCGTTTTTTTTCGTGTGTTCGGGCCTTTATCGTGTCTGAAACTTGTTTCGCGAACGGCGCGGCTGTACTTGCGCGCAGTCTAAATTGCAATTTGCCTTATGCAAATTCTACCGCTTCGATCGCGTTACGGGACACAAAGTTAGCGGTGGCGCATTAATTAACGGGCGTTCCGCACGCTATTTATAGCGAAATCTAAGTACAGCTTATTATCCTGATAAGCGACTGCCCGATCCGGAACGTGAGATAAAACGGACACCATCATAAAAAGAAACTACACCGATGGGGGAAGTAAAGATGAGAGATAAAAGATATTGCGGTTGCGCGAGACGGAAGACTACGGAGAAGAAAGTAGATTTTAACGCAAACTCATACTGCACGTGAACGTTGGACACACATTTCTTCCTCTTCTTTTTAATCGAGGTGTCTTTTTACTATCGGACACGTAGGGAGCCGGTGAACCTGCGTCCTTATCCTGTCATTCGCTCTATCTGCATTGAGTGAAAATAACCGGTCGGGAAATAAATGTGCCACGCATCTGATTCTCCGCCTTGGGGACTCTTGAGCAATTCTAGCAGCTGCGCCAGCCTAGAGACCTGGGGACACCATCGGAACGCGGTATATCGCTTCGAATTCAGAATCCAGGGCGCGTGGAGCGCTCCGCGTATGGGCAAAACCTATCGTGTGACATTCCAGCTGGCGAATAATATCCGGAGGGCTCCCGAGATCGCCGCAGTCGCTTTGCGCGAGAACGGTAGATTCTATATATGGCGGGGTCCGGCGACCACGCGACCGACGATAAACGGGCCCACACGCCCGGCCCGTTCCCACAGGTTGCATAATGTCGGCGCGACAGCTATTGCCTCGCAGGTATACAATTATACGCGCAGGTATGCGACGCCGTTGTAGACTCACTCGTGCGCACTTGCGCGCACGACGTTCGAGAGGCACGCCGACCGTGTCGATTCTTATCCCGGTGTCATTGCGCTATTCTGTGCTCACTGGGTCGGAAAATCGATCGAGATACTTATGACGTTATTATGCTAATGCGCAAGATCTCTCGCGCGCGGGTAAATATGCTAGGGGAGAGATTTCTCGTGCAGGGAGCGGAAGAACATTCGTTGACGGACGCAGAATTTCGTCCTAGGATAATTTGAAGTACGCGCATCGGGTCTTCGTTGTGCACGGAATTTTCTCTTAAAATTTACCCTGAAAATTATGTAAGCGTGGGACAACACGGCATTTTGAAGAACTTCATGAGAGTATTTTGAAATCTTACCAATGAAATTTTACCAATAAAGTGTATGGTAAGATTACAAAAAACTGTCATAAAATTCCTCGAAATACCACGTTGTCCCACGATTACATGATTTTCCGGATACATTTTAAAAGAAAATTCCCCTTTGAAATTTTACCACACTTTTGACTAGTAAAATGTTCGGTAAAATTTCAAAAAGACCCTAATAAAATTCTTGGAAATATCGTGTTGTCCCACGAGCATATGATTTTCAGGATAAATTTCAACATATACGATATAAATTTTGATCGTTTTTGTTAATTTACATATGTATGTGTGATATGTTTATAAGAGTGGAGAAAAATTCATTGACTCATGCAGAATTATGTGTGCCGGAATAACTCGAGGCATCGACATCAGGTCTTCGTTGAATATTTAAATTGCAATCGTTATATGTGTATTAACAAAAAATCTGAGAGCGGAGACAGGTTCATCGACAGACGCAAGATCGTGCGTGTCGGGGCAATTTGAAACGTGGATGCGTTTAGGTCTTTGTTGTACAATTAAAACGGGATCGTTATATTAATTTCTACGTACGGAACAACGTTCCTCGGTGTAACCCTTTATAACGCAAATATCCGTCCTCGGATGCGCTGTGTAGTTACCCTAATAGCTCACAATTATTTAAATCACATCTTCACCGTGACGGCCATTCCGTTGCGCGAATACACGGCACACAACAGATACTGTTGAACAAATGACTCCTCCGCGAGCACTGTCATTTTCGTAATCGTGTGTGAAAAGCGAGTAGATAGCGACCACGATAGCGCGACGCGATGATAAAATGTGCCATCCCCCTCCCCTCCCCCTCTTCCCTCTGCGTGCTGGTTCCCATATAATCTTGCACAAAGTTACTCGTTTCCACAGAGTGGATTTTCTCAGATGGCCGCAACCTTTATCTCGCTCATTCTTCTCTCTTGACTGTATTTGCTCTTCTTTATCTACCTTCAAACATCGTCTCTTCGAGAGCCAATATTTTCAGTCAACTACGGCGATATGCACGACGTCTCGACTGACAAGTTTCAACTGCGCGCAGCTCGAAGAGTTTAAAATCGGCCGGGAGAGGCTCTGACGGATCATTATTTTTTATCTGCTTGATTCTCCCCCGAACTTTTGTCTGTTTAGTTTCAACGCACTCCCTCCGGCGAAATCGGGCCTCTCTAATTTGGCCTCGAGATATCGCGTGTCGTTTCCCCGAGTCGCCGGCATCGCGCGGAACAAGACGGATCCTTATCCTTGTTCTTCCCTCCTCTCGTTTCTTTTTCGTACTTGTCATTGTCCACTTCCTGCGCCGAGGTGAGCCGAGTGTTAATTCACGAGAGGCTCGTCACGACGGTACTAATAGTACGCCAATCGAGACGCTATCGCGTCGCCATTACGACGCCATTAGCGCTGTCTCATGCTAGCATATCCTTATTTCGTGAGAAATTCGTAAATCTCAAGGAGAGGAGGCGCAAATGTGAAAACGCTGATATAACACGCAGGCAACTCACGAACGCGAGAATCGGCGTAGAGATGCCACTTCTTCGCATCCCATCGTTTTTCGTAAAAAGACGAGGGATTTTCAGTTTTTTTTCCGCTAATGTAAATTAACTAATGTGTCAATGGCCTTAAACAAAGCCTCGAAATCATAAATACACCCCCTAATTACAAATAACGAACCTGGGGCACTCGAAAGTCCTTTTAAAACTCCACTCGAAGCGCAATTCGCGGATTTTAACGAGCTGATCGAGATAAGAGAAGCAGGGCTTATTATTCATTGTTTCTCGGATTTCATTATTTGTCATGTAATTATTATACATTCAAGCGGGATCAGCGTCATCTTGTTGACACAGTTAACATTAACGGCCGCACGTAAGGGCCGGTTTCGCATACGTCGGTTAACTGTTAACCAAAATTCAGTCAACTTCCTTTTCTATTTTGTTATCTAGGAGGAGGCAAATAATCAATTAACCTTCGGTTAGTAGTTAACCGACGTTTGTGAAACTGGGCCCTAAGTCGTTGTTGCGATACTCTATGGCCTGCAGTTAAGTTTCCCCCGTTCGTAAAATTCAGCCCTTATTGATTTTCCGATTTTCCCGTGGTCCCGCGATTGACGCTGCGTAAATTCCGCAAGTAATGTTGCGTTTCCACCTGCGATTATACGCGCACAAAGCAGGGATACATACACAGGTTATCATAACCGTGAACTATACATCTTTTGTGATTACGATTAATTCTCGATACGTGTAATTCTCGATTTAGAAATCGAGAAAAAGGTGCGAGGATGAAGTTTGGAAAATTGTGCCTTCAACTTGCATACAAGAGAATACCATTTTTCAGTCAATTTTGGATGTTCTTCGGTTAATCTCTTGAGCGAAATCTTAGCTCTAGATCGTAATCTATGAACTTGGACACGTGAAAGCGATTATCACTCGCATCTTAAAATTTACGACGGAGATGAATATCAAGCAAAAGGCCTTAATTCCTTTGGTAAATATATCGATGAAGGGAGCCAGCCCCGATGACCTTGACCTTGACATATGTTGTCAAGGTCGCCCTCCTGAGTGACCTTGAAGAGGTTTTAGCCGTCGCTCGTAGTTCGTTAAAAAGTTATATGCATACAAGTTGATTAAATAAAGCATAATTTTACGAATCATATACATGTCTTGAGAAGTACGCATGCATGGAGACATCGGGGGAAAGAAAA